CTACTGTCGACAAGAAATCTCTCTTTTGGTAATGAACCATTGACTTTACTCCATACAACAACAGGTTGTGGATATCCACTGGCAGAACAATTCAAGATGGCAGACTGACTTTCATTGATGACCAAACGTGGAGGTGATATAATTACTGATCGTGGTGGTACTACGGACTGACCTGGTGGTCCTCTCGGTCCTGGTATTTTCTTTTCTAACTGCAAGGCCCCCAAGGCTTGAATGATCTTTGGAAGGTACATTTTGATCTCAGACAATTCAGCCGCCATTTTTTTTGATCAGGTATGACAGATCTTTTCTTTCTTTTCGGATGAGAACAAGGATCCTTGTTGATTTTGTCTTCGAAATCATTCATTCTTGTGACCTGAGCATCTAGCATCGACTTGATGTTCTCAATATCTGCAATATTCTTCATTTCCAACTTATCGACTCGTACCGTTTGCTTGTTTAAGACTAATTTAATCCAGAAAAACTGACCTAAACATAATAACAGCATCGCTGTTGAAATCAAGATGGCGAACTTTGTTGGTGAGTACATAAGAGCGACTTTGTCTTCCATTTTGAAGGCGAAAGACTGAAATAGCAGCAAGCTATGATCAGAACTACTGAATGTGATATGAAATGTAAAGTATGGCATATTGTGCTAACAATTTTGTTTGACGTCTTAATAATTGTCAGATCTATACAGTATGGACATCGTGTGTGGTTGGTTCGCTAATCAGTAAGTTTATAACGGTAAAACAGATGGTGTAGCTAGGCGCGTTGATCAATCTAAAAAGGGAAGATATATATATACTCCGGCCCTCGTGTCTTTTTGAACAGTTTCTTTCTTTTAACAGACCTCTTGTGCATGTCTTGTGACTCGTACTTTTTGCAATCAGATGAAACTGACATTTTTTTTCTCCTTTTTCTTTGAGGGAAGTTGTTTCAGGGAGATATTGTTTTTTGAATAAAGTAAAAAAATATTTGAATTGAAGTCAAAAGACCAATTTGTAGATAATTATCACAGGGTGTAAATTGAGTTAACTATTGACTCCTAGTATGCTGGCTTTCTTAGATGTTTTTTTTTTTTACCATGTTGTAAATTATGTAAGAAATGGCTCCTTTCTATTTTTCAAAAACACTTTTTACTTGTAAAAATAACGCATTCGTGGTTTCTCTATATATTGGAAGTAAATAAAAAGTTATTTTACGACTTAATTAGCTTTCATAGATGATTGTATAACAAACAGAATATTACGGATTCATCTCATGATGAAGATCTCGCTATGATCATTCTTGAAAGATCTTTTCAACATTCGAAGGCAAATTCCGTATTTCCGCGTATTCACGCTGTAATATCCTCTATTTATGTGAATATTTAAAAATGTGTATAAATTAAAAACTAGATATAGCACACATTTGGTGTTAGTACTCCATCGAGACGTGATAACTGTACATGTATATAAACTACAAGAAAGCAACTATTTCCGTTGGCTTCGATTCGGTTTAATATAAAAAGACATTATGTGTACATGTGCGCCGTTTTAAGGTGCAAGCGACTACTCCGGCTGACAACAAACTCTCGGATTGAGTAGATATGGAATGTGAGCTGAACAGCCGGGAGATTCGGGAGGAAGGAAGTTTCTCATCGCGGATTGGTCGAGAGCCCGAAGGAAGTAACGTCAAAGATCACATGAGGAAAGAGACGTCATGTATCAGAACGAGGCACCCGGAAGTCATCCCAAAAATAAAGTGAGGTCATATAAACAAAAACGATGTTTATTTTTATTGTTTCGATCACAAGTCGAACATCGTAACACATATGAACACAAATCTTAAGTTATAACGAAATATGCGTAGAGGTAATGAGCAGATTTTTGTTGACAAGATATTTTCTAAAGTAGAAGAAAGCAGAATATTTCACTGATTTGTATATATAAAGCTGTTGGTAAATTTTTCAAAACAAAACATATCTCACTTCGTAAACCTCACGAACCTTTCATAAAAGTAATGCTTATCAACAATCTCCCATTCTTTTAGATTATTTTTAAGCATTTTATGTAATCACCTTCTCACTTTTCAATGAACTCTTCTGCTTTGTAAAATTCATTTCTTCACAAACTCTAAAGTATAAAAGGGGGAAAAAGTATGCAAGGGATAAAAACGGAATATCTTCTTGACAGCGCCTTTATAGACAGAAAATATGATATATATATACTATGTTTCTGATAAGATTAAAGCAGTACTAATACGAAAACGCACAATTTTGAAACTTCTAGTAATTCAAGCATGTTTTATTCATACAAGTATTAGAAAGTTCACACCAAAATGCTGGTAGATTAGCAGCGATGTCAATAATTCTATGAGGAGTACAATGCTTTTTAGCTTTTTATTTGCAGACATTTTTTGCCGTACTTACGCCATCATCAGTATAAATTCTACATATAGTACTTCGAAATCAATTATTCTCATTTAGAATAACTGGTATTTTTTCCAATAAAATAGTTACTATTATCATTGACTATTTGACTGTCATCTTTACAAACACTACACGAAACACACACGTGATGACAAATCGTTGATAAATGTCTGTTCAAATAACAAAGAGCAATAACTTGTGCGTTATCTTAGTGTAATACTCATGCATTAGAATCCACTAGTACGCATTTTCATTTCAGATTTTTTTAAACTTTGCCAATTGTTATGAAAAAAGCGCCAGGTAATTCCTTTATACAACACCTTGTTTCCAAGGTACTTTCCATTCAGATTGACATAATGACAACTATTATACCACCAGGCACCAGTCCAGGACGTAGCACAATTGCCATTGTCCTTGTCGTTATCTCTATCTTTTGTAGTAAACGCCATGTTGTTATTCCATGCTAACGAGTCCCCAGCAGTACCTGAATACGACCCAATCCTGAGCCTGTACATGTCTGATTCGTCACCAACACTAAAACTACCATATTTGGCATACTTCCTAGTTCCGTCCCAGTCCTCTAGTTCAACGCGTAGACTCGACGGTGTTCTTGCTGTCAGTCGATGGATGTAATCGTTACCCAACCAAAACTCGCCATTCAGATTTCCAAAACCTGTTTTGTATTTCTGCCAATTGCGAAAGAAAACGACTGATCCATCTTGTCTTCGCTGAAACACAGTCCAACCCCCACCGTCAGTTGTCATGTCACAATAGACTTGAAATGCAGGCTGCTTGTCGGGTTGAACTGTGTACACACCGTTACGTCTCTCTCCAGATTTGTAAAGGTCTGCGCAATCTTTAAAATGTTGTACAGTCAATATCGTACTCAAATGTGAATTAAAAACACCAGAACTCGTAGCAGTGCACGAAAACACACCCGAATCAGTTTTCTTGACGTTCCTTATAATCAAAGAGCCACGTCTCACTTCATATCTACCAACAGGAAGAACGCCGTTGTCTTTTCTCAATACACCTTTTCAGTTGCTCGTAGGCCTCGACAGCACGTTAAATATTCTTTTCAATTTGTAGGAATTTGAGCAATGCACACATTGATATGAATTGGCTCATTTGTCAAATTCAAAAAATAATGAAAAGGTATATTGTGAAAATAACGCATTCGTGGAGTATGGAAATAAATAAATAAAATTATTTTTGAAGGCCAAAAACTGAAATGGCAGCAAGCTATGATTCCAACAATTGTATTTGATATCAAATGCAAAATGAAATCGTGTAAGTTATAATAATGTTGTTTTGTCTTTATGATAAAGGTCAGATCTATACAGTATGGACATCTTGTAGGTTTGGTTCGCTAATCAGTAGGTTTTATGACGGTAAAACAGATGGTGTTTTACGAGTCTATTGATGCTTGATGTCTGTTGAATACAGCTCATTGAAGTTGAAACGCCTTCTCTTAGTTTTCTTAGTTTTCGCGGAATCGTTCGCCTTTGTTCATTGTGTTTTGAGGTCGTCTTGTTTGTCAGCTTGATGTCTCTTGAATACAGCTCGTTTAGCATCAAAAGACACCACAGAACAACAACAAACTGATGATCAAATATAGTCATGGCAATCCATCTGCCATATTTTAGTAAATAAAAAAGTATCGAATTGAAGCAAACACGAAGACGCAATGAAAGTGATACGATATCTCATACTTTCAGGGGTGGATCCATTTATTTAAACTACTTGCGGCATGATTTAATGTGTATATTTTTACCAGTTGCACGCACGAGCAGTGGATCCTTGTGGATCTAATGAGGATGGGAGGGGGACTGCTACCCAGCCGTTTTGAAAAAGTCCTAATTGAATGGCATCTTTTTTCACATATACTGTCATAATATATATCTATTAATAAAATTAATAAAACATGTTGTACCTCAGTCAATTGTTTTCATAAAATTTAGGAAACAAATAGGTGCATAATTCAAACAGACAGACAGACAGACAGACAGAATCTTTATATGGTCCAAATTTCTGGATGTGTCTCTAAGTACGTTCTTGATACATTTTAGAAGCATTCACAGTGTACTGGATGTCACCGTATTCTAGGCAATTATGCAAATTGAATGGGACAAAATGTTAAAAGAAAACTGTGAATGGGAAAGTTTGATGTTTTTCTAATTAATAGTTTACGTTCAGGAAAATACGCTTTTTCATTCTTCAACAAATGATTAGGTTCAAACGTCAAGTCTAGTATCGAATATGTGTTGAAAGTCTTATTCAAGTTAAATTGCTGGATTATATCTGCTTAAAATATGGTTAAAAATCATACAGGGTGACGAATGCGAACCAAGCAGAAATGATTATAATCGTATGTATTTATACTGTTTTATGAATGACCGTTAATTCAAAAATTGGCGAAGATGGATATTTCGGCCTTTCAAGATTGTAAGCATTGTTTACATGGTCATTATGTTTTGGTCAAAACGCGTGAATTTTGAAATATTCGAGCATGAAATCAGATGTATTTACATGTTATACCCATTACAGAAGGCCATACATGATATATCAGCGATCGGACAATATTGTTTTGCTATTTATGAAGAATCAAATACATGATAAATATGCTAATGTGGTGTGTGAGAAAATACCACACTTATTTCATTTGATTTGATGTCCTTTGATTCTTTGTTTCTGATATATCACATTTGAATTTCTTAAAAAATTGGCTAAAAATTATTAAATCTGCAATATTGTACCATATGATGCTTTGTTTTGCCTGTCATGAATATGAAATAAAACTCATATCCACTTGTTAAAGCTTGTTTTTAGCTACAGACAGGGGCTAATTCAGCTGGTGGGCGCAGGGAGTTTGCAGTAACCCCCTTGCCCCCTCGAGATTTAGTATGCTTCCTTTTATTTGTGTCTTCTTTGTCATGGTTTCTTGGAGAGCTCCCTGGCTGAGTGCAGGACCACTCCCTGGAAATAATGTAATCTTCACACACTGCTTTACTGCATGTAACATCGAGTACAACAAATCTGAAACATTTCTTTTGATTTCATGTATTGTCATCTGATCTTCTTATCGTATAAAACAGGTGATGGAAGGGCGCTATAGCTCGCCAATATATCAGTGCTCAGAAAATAAATTTTGAAATACTACGAACGTTTTTTTGATAGAATCCGCTAATTTTTCAAATGCTATCCGAACTCGACTGCTCCTCAGTCCCTGATTATTATACTTTATGTTTTATCAAGCGCCAAAAATACGCGCGTGCACCCCTAGACGTTTGATTGTTACAAACTAGATCTTTAAGCTATGTTATTGCAGATCGATAATTTCTTTTAATTTTTTGTATTGTTGTTGTTGTTGCATACTTTATTACATTTTCAATTTCTCTATTACGCTCGCAAATAACGATGGAACCGAAAATATAGAGAAATAAAGGAATGCACGATAACTTTTCGCCGTCCTGTAAGAAATGAATGAGCGGGTAGCCTGTTGTGAGCCTGCAAGTAACAATGCGACAATACAGCTGCTCGCGCATGGTCATGCAAAATGGCCCCTTGTTATGTTCAGCGAAGTAAAATGTACATTATGATAATCCAGGTGGCCACACAATCGGCTTGTAAACAAATTTGACAATCATAACGAAAGAAGAACGGACCGCCCAAACAATACCGATACTCAGGACCTATACCGCTAGAAACGCCTACGCGGTACCGCTAATTACGTAACACCTATTGATTAGCGTATAAATAAGGGCCAACCTTACGGTTTCCTCACCTGACTTTGAAAATGATTACCGCACAGCTGATGGAAACGTCAGTCACATCAAGCAATTCTTCTCAGAACTACATCCACCCGGATGATCATAATGTACATGTTACTTCGATAAACAAAACATCATATGAGGTGGTCGTGAGATTTTACGAACAGAACATTATGTGAGGTGGTTCTGACGTGAGGTGAGGTGGCTCACGAGCTCATCGTCGAACAGCGGTTTTCCAAAGGACGGGCTTCTTGTGTTATATTTCCCAAATGATTAAGTGGTGGTAATGCAAAATCCAACTTTACAGTTTCTTCGTGAAACTCTTTTCGCCAATTGTTCTGTCTCCAACACATGTCCAGGACTGGCCTATGCATTCCCTTGCCCCCTCTCTCCCGTCCCCTTGTCCCCTAGGGATCCTCTGGTCATCCCCTAGTTGTCCCCTTGTTCCTGGTCTATGGTGTTGTCCCCTCCTGTCTCCATTCCAAACATGCAGGTTGTCATGCTGCAAGCTGAGAAGTAGCGACACACATGATGTACAGAGCTTTCTGATTTATCTTATTTTAGACTCTGTATCTTCATTAACATCATTTTCTGAAACTTTTGTATCTTTAAGAGAATTTTTAAGCTATGTTGAATGATGTAAAGAGTTCTAAATTCAAAGCTCGACTTTCAAAGTTGATTTGTCAATAGTTTCACGTGACTCTGTAGTTTGATCAGAGTTGTTTCGAGTCTATAATAATACTGTCTATGTAATAAAAGCAATGGTCAATGCTTAGCGTGCGTAAATCGAGCTCTGAATACACTTGGATAGTTTAGAGAGCACTTTGTGGCTAGAGATGCTCTCGACTGCGTATCGAGCAACTCTTACGCCGCGTCGTGCTCTCTCAACTATCCGCTTGTATCCAAAACTCGATTTACGCACGCTAAGCATTGACCATTCCTTAAATGTAACACACACGTGACGACAAATCGTTGATAAATGCCTGTACAAATAACAAAGATAAATAACTTCAGCGTTATCTTACTGTGCTACTCATGCATTAGAATCCACTATAGCATGTATTTTCATTTCAGACTTCTTAAAACTTCGCCAACTGTTATGGAAATGCCACCAATATATTCCTTTCGCCGACTCCTTGTTTCCAAGGTACTTTCCATTCAGACTACAATCAAAACAATTATTATACCACCAGGCACCGGTCCAGGTCGTGGCACAGTTACCACTATTCTTGTCGTTATCTCTATCTTTTGTACTAAACGCCATGTTGTTATGCTTAGATATCAACGAGTCCCCAGCAGTACCTGAATACGAGCCAACCCTCAGCCTGTACTTGTCCGATTCATCACCAACACTAAAACTACCATATTTGGCATACTTCCTAGTTCCGTCCCAGTCCTCNTTGTGTGGTAATGTACCGTTGTTTTTACTCCACACAACATCAGGTCGAGGATAACCACTAGAGGAACAATGTAAGATGGCGGACTGGCTTTCATTGACGATGAGATGTGTTGGTGAAATGAGTACTGTTGGACGTGCTAAGGAAGGACCACGATCTCCCTTTGGTCCCTTTGGTCCCTTTGGTCCAGGCATTCCTCTGGGACCAGGAAGTCCGACCTTTCCAGGAAAACCACGTGGGCCTCGTTTACCTCGACGTCCAGTTTTACCCATGCGTCCTCTCGGTCCTTTTGGACCAGGTTTTCCTTGTGGACCAGGAGGTCCTGGAATGGGAATCCAGTATTTGGCAGATTGTAAATTGGCAACTGCTTTCCCAATCTTTTGGTCAATTTTTTTGGATAAGAACTCGTCAGTCAGTATATTAATTGTGCTGTTAACTCGCATTGTAGTATCTCTTACTTTTCTTTGTACAATTTCTTCATTTGGTTTTGTTTGTTCTCTCTGTACTGAAGGATGATCTTTGTCGAATCGATTCATGCCATCATTCATGTCGTTTTTTGAAGTCGTCTTGTCCGCCAGCTTTGTGCCTCTTGAATACAGCTTGTTTAGCATCAATTCCGTTCTGAAAAACACACCACAGCACAACAACAAACTGACGACCGATAGAATGATGGCAATCTTGGACAACAAGCAGGAATAGATGATTTTATCTGCCATATTTTAGTAAATCGAACAGCATCGAAGGAAACAGGAAGACTGACGCATTGAAAATGACCGGCGGCAGTGTCGCTATTTGTCTGTTATATCATACTTCAATGCGTGTCTTGCTATGGTATCTTATTCTTTGATACAAAAATAACTGACCTGGTGACCTGGTTGTAACGTGATGTGGGTTTCGGGTCAGGACTATTACACTGATATTTTTTCGATATTCAATGTTATCACTGTCAGTCTGAGACTAGGAATAAGTCGGAATTGACGATTTTTAGCTAATTTTGCAAACGAAAACAAAATCACAAAAACAAAGATGAAGACGTAATAAAAATAAAATGATATTGAATTTCGCAACATTCTCATTGAAAGTGCTTGTAAAGGAATTTTTCTTATGTTTCCTAAAGATAGTTTACTAATCATTAAATATGGTTTGAGGAAAAGAAATTCAAAAATCGAAATAGCAGTGTGTTTTTGAGGCGATTCAAGTTGAGAAAATGACCTCCTGTGCTTTTGGTATCGGTTGAATCCTGGAGAGACTGGAGACAATAAGCGTGTGACGTAGTTTCAGTCAGATCAGTCTCGAAATTTGCAGAGAAATACTAGCAAAATTCCGTTATTCAGGTTTGAATCTGACATACACACCGCTATTTTTGATTTTTGAATTTCTTTTTTTCAAACTATATTTAATGATTAGTAGTACATTTTCCTCAGAAAAAACAAAAAATTCCTTTATATGCACTTGACGAGTCTATGTCTACTACTATCCTACTGTACCAGAACTCATGTTGTCCCGAGACCATCTAAGCATATTTACCAGCCCCCTCCCCTATGAGGTAAACTTTCAGTCATTTCTGGACAATTTCTAAGCTTATGTCTTATAATGTGTCGTGTGTGACAGACGACTCATTATTTTTCCTTGTACTTCAGCATATATAATCACTATTCGTTGAACAAATTCATACACGTTTAAGTGCTAAATCAAGTTTCAATAATGATTAAAGCGGTACTACCAGCAAAACGCCCCATTTTTGAAACTTCTAGCAATTCAAGAATGTTTCGTTTATACATATTAGAAACTTGAGGCGGGAAAGTCTTGCTTGGGAGTAATCCAGAGTCAAGAAATGTTGTTTCAAAAGAAAAAGGAACAATAGTTAAGTATATGAAAAAAAATATGAAAAAATATGAAAAACATGTTGCTCAATGAATGATAAAGCCAAATTTAAGTTTCTGTTTTTAAACGAGCTAATTTTCATTAAAACGGAGGCATTTTTAGTCCTTCTTTTGCACTAAATTATAATTTTGATGATCAATTCTCTTAAATTTAAAACTGATACCTTAAAGTGGTTCGATTGAACTACCATAAAAATGCGTGTCCTTTAAAAGCTGAAAACTGAGTATACACGAAGAAATTTTGAACATCATTAAGTTTCACGAATTAAGTTTGGAATTTTCAATCTGTTCTAATAGTGCTTGTTCCACCTGTTATCAAATAAACTTTTCTTTTTTCAATAAGTAGGAAACATGACTAGATATTAACATTGATGTTTACTTGTTGATAAATGTCTGTACAAATAACAAAGAGCAATAACTTCAGCGTTATCTTGCTGTGCTCACTCATGCATTAGAATCCACTAGGACGCATTTTCATTTCAGATTTCTTAAAACTTTGATTATTGTCATGAAAATACCACCAATTAATTCCATTCCACGATTTCTTGTTTCCAAGATACTTTCCATTAAGATTAGCATAATGACAACTATTATACCACCAGGCACCGGTAA